TTTTATGTGCGTAAGAACTGGGGTGTAGGCAAAAAGTATAGGAGGGTGGGAGGATTCACCAGAAACAAAGTGAGGAGCAGAACAGGCAGGTCTACTGAAATACTCTGCTGAGGGGATCAGCAGGCGAGACAAGAGAGGTCTGCTGCACCATGTATTAGCTCCCTGGCCAGGTATCGAACTCATGTGGCAGTGTGCTGATAGCTTGATAGTGCTGATACCACCAAGAAGGCCCTATTTATAATTGTTAAGCATGTTTCCCCAAATGACCTCACTGGCAGAGTTGTGATATCTGCAGTGGGACTTTATTTTACTACTAAACAACATGGTTTTGAAGAACCAGGAGATGTGTTACAGCCATGATTAATGATGGGTGTCAATGTGGATGGCGCAGGTTTCTGTGGAGTAGAATTTTCAGGGTCTGCTTGCTTTTCTCTCAATGCTGGAAATGTGCACAACCCCCTCCCATTCACCTCCTTCCCCCCCCACCCCCTTAGATGAACAGTCTTCGCAAAGCATATATATTTGCTAGCCCTGCAGCATGAGTTCCAACCCAGGCCAGGAACCTGACCTCTCTGTCTCGTTCTCTGCTCCCCTCACTAGCATATTACAGTAGATCTACTTGGTCTACTCTGTCTCTAGTGAATCCTCTCACCCCTGCCCCACCCATACATCCCAGTTCTGTATGCATAAATAAATTAATCTTAAAAAAAATTTCAGACACTTACCAGGCAGTGTCAGCAGTGTGTGTGTGTGTGTGTGTGTGTGTGTGTGTGTGTGTGTGTGTGTGTGTGTGTGTGTGTGTGTGTGTGTGTGTGTGTGTGTGTTTTCAGTACTCCACCCTCAGCACTTGATTGGATTCTGTCTTTGGTATAAGAATATTTTTGTCTGTTTCCCTTTGACTTGCTACCCATCTGTTTCCCCACTGACTTTGGAAACCCCTTTTATACAGATATTGGTTCTTCTTGCTCTCACAGCCATTTGTGAAATTACTCCCATTATTTACAAGCTTGGCTCCTAGTCGTATGCCTACCAAGAGATTTATTTGGCAGCCGTGCTTAATTTCCAGGAATGACTTTTAGTTCATTATAGTTAGTACTCTTTCTTGAACCCCACTGAGGGTTTGAATTATAATTATTTAATGCTCTCCTGATTCTTGCATTGCTTTTGCGTCATTGGGTATTACGTTCACTCTGACTACCTAGTTTGGTCTGACTCTTGCTCATTCTTTACCTCTGATGTCCATTGCCACCCACTCTTGTGAGGCCTGAAAGCCAACTCTTCTGTGTGTAGGCTCGGGGGGGCTGTCTCAACAGTGATTTTTAAAGATGGGATCTTTCTTAGTTGCCAAGTAGTTGTATGTTGGGGGCTGCAGAGGGAATTTTAAAAAGTGATTTGTGCTTTCCTTTCTGTTGATGATCTCTTCAGTTTGCATAATCAGAAATAAAACAAAGATAATGACAGCCATCACTGTCTCAGACTGCGGGGGTAGAGACCCTGGTACTGATTTTACTTGTTACCTATCCCTGTGCCCTCTGTACAGGTGGGTACTGATTCTGTTTCACTCTCCAGTTTCTCTCTCCAGTGTTGCTGTTGCATGTAGCACACCCACCCGCACTCCTTCGCTGGACAGACACCCCAGGCTCCCGATCTTCTGTCTCCATATCACCTCTTTTGCCCATATTTTACATAGTAATGAAGCCCCTTCCCAAAGCACAGATGTGATCATTACCCTTTGTTGTTGTCTTTTTGTTTCTACTCTTATTTTTTCCCTTTGTTTTGTGACCATTATCCTTTTTTTTTTGAAAAAAGATTTATTTATGCATACTTATTTATTTATGCATACAAGAATTGGGGTATAGGCCAGAGGTGGGGGGTTGGTGAGAGGATTCACCAGAGACAGAGTGGGGAACAGAATAGGCAGATTGACTGAAATACACTGCTGAGGGGAGCAGCAGGCAAGACAGGAGAGGTCTGTCACGCCATGTGGGTCAGCTCCCTGGCTGGGGATCACACTCGTGCTGCAGTGGCTGTGGAGAGCTTCATAGTGCTGTGCTTTAACCTGTTGCGCTAATAGGGAGCGCCCATCGTTGTCCTTTTTAAGGATAGTCCTCTTTGAGCCCCCTTAGATTCTCAGCATTTTCCTGCTGGATTGAGTATAGCCTCATTATTGTGGCACTGTCCAGGGCGTGCCTGGTCCCAGCTAATGCCCCCACCACCTCCATGCAATGAACTGGTCTTGCTACTGATTTTCCTAACTTTGTGCATGGTTGGGTTTGCTCCATTCAATTTCAGTGGGCAGGGCAGTCTTGAGGTGACAGGCAGCTGGCATCACTGGACTCACCTGCTCCAGGTGTGCTGGTGACCAGATCAGGGGTGAGCAGGTTGAGCACTGTGCCTGGAGGAGGCCCGAGGTGAGGGAAGACAGGGCCCCTTAAGGGTATAAGCAGTTAGTTTGGGGTGGAAGAAAGCTGTACTGATGGTGAAACGGAAGCGCATGCTTAAGGGAAGGAAGTAGTTCACCAAAAAGCCTTTGGTCACAGGCACCTGAGTAGCCTCCCATGCGTGGCCACTTAGCAGATGACCAGACCCTCCTGCCTCTGCTGGCTTTGCTAGGAATTTATTTTTTCCTATTATTGTAAAATATGTAAAAATGCAGGGTAAAGGTGAATCCTGAGTATTTTACATGCACCATCTCCGTCAGGGCCTTGAGTGTCTTCAGGGTTTTCTAAGCAATATCCACAATGTCCCCTCTGAATAATGCTTGTCATCACTTCTGTGAAACTATTAGCAAAGAGGGTCCTCCTACCACATGCAAATAGCAGAAAAGATAAGAAAAAATATAAAGACCCACTTGTTCCTGTTCTTCAAAAGGGAAAATGATTCAAAAGTCACTGACGTGCAGTAAGTCCCACAGGCTCATCGCCTTCCTGGGCTTCGCTCTGCCTGCTGATTGGTGTGTCCCGGCATCCCTGCGGCCACCGTCTTGTGCTTAGCAGTCACCTGGTTCATTGAGAAGTGGGGATGCTCTTTAAACCAAGGTTTCTCAGCCTTGGCACTGTGGACATTTGGGGCCAGCTCATTCTCTACTGCAGATTGCCCTATGTGTTGTAGGGTGCTGAAGCAGCACACTTGGCCTCTACATGTAAGTAGGGGCAGCTCACCCCCTGCTGTGCTAACTCGGGGTGGGGGGTGGGGAGTTATTCTCCAGACAGTCCCAAGTGTCCCCCTGAAGGAACGTCACTCCTGGTTGAGAGCCACTGCTTTCAACAAACGTGGATATAATTTGAACAACATTACATGTGGCCCTCCCTGGTGGTGCAACAGGTTAGGGTGCAGCACTGGAGGCTGGCTGCAGCCACTTCAGTGCAAGTTCGATCCCCCGCCAGGGAGGTGACCTACATGGCACTGCAGCCCTCTCCTGACCCGCCCATTGCTCCCCTCAGCAGTGAACTTTGTCAGTCAGCCTGTTCTGCTCCCCACTCTGTCTCTGATGAATCCTCTCACAGCCCCTGCACCCCTGGCCTGTGCCCCACCTCTGTATGCATAAATAAATAAATCTTTAAAAAAAAAGATATCAGTTAATGTAACAGGTGCACAAACATTTGAGCCAAAAGAGTAACATCAAACATTTTTGATGTCTCCGCCCTACTCTGTTCCATTGAGGCAGCTTGCTGACACCCTTTTTATGTTTACTTACTTATTTCTTTATATGTATTTTACATAATTGTTCTTTTATTTATTGTTTATTTTTACAATGTTTGCTTGCTTTTCTGAGGTGTCTTCCCCATAGAATACCCACCACTCATTCACCCCTGCACCATCATCACCATGATCCCTTGTGCTCTTCCCACCCTCATTGTGATCTGTCTCACTCCCCCTCCCCTACAGATGTTTCTCTGGTGCCAAACAAGGGATCAGAGGGGAAAATAACAACTAAAAACAAAACAGAGCTTTATTTTGGTTTCTTGCCTAAGACATTAACTGTGATTCGTTTCTCCTACGTGTCTACATTGGTTTCCCCTGGCTCATCCAGAATATTGGCTGAGTGCAAAGTGCCCCTGAGAGAATTCCGTCAGCGGGAGCTTTCCTCCTGGGTTTCCAGACTTCTGGTGGGTGTGTCTCCACATTTTCAGGACAGCTTGGCTGGGTTATCCTTTCTTGGTGGAAAATTAATTGCCGCTAAGATCTGACTCATTCTCTGCTCTGTGCCAGTGACTGTTCTCTGTCCCTTCTCACCCCTTCCTGCTTGTGGTATTCTTCTCTTGGTCATAAAAATCTAGGCACACCTGGGCATGTCTCGCTGTACATGTGCCAGGGTTCGTAGGAATCCTTTGTACCCTCTCATGTTTGAAAACAGACTCTTCAGTGCTTGTTAATCTTTGGGTGAATCTTTTATTGTCCAGGTCATACTTCTGTTGTTTGAAACTGAGTTTTTAATTTTTTTTTTTTTTTTGCATCACCCAAATGGCAGCATAGAATTGTTTCAGAAGCTTCCTGCTTTTCACTTAGAGATTGTCTTAGCTTAGAGCACCGCACATGTTAAATGACAGCAGGTTCTCTGAGCATATTGACCCAGGTGGCTAGATTTAATCAAAATTAGATACAGGTATACACATCGTTTCTCCCTTGCACCAGCCACAGTAGCTCTGCAGGCTGTGGCACCCGGACTGGGTGAGCCAGATGTGCAAGCCAGTTGCATCATGGCCGAAAATGCTGTTGGCTAGTGCTGGGCCGTAAGATCTACGCCCGAGTGCACGGCAAGGACATCCCTATGCCTTTCTTTATCCCAGCATCCTGACGTTTCTGATAGTTCCCTTTCCAGGGGGGTGATTGAGAATCTGTGAGTAAATGAGTCTTGATGGGGATTTGAAAAGCATAAGAAATATATTGGGATATTGGAGTATAACCTGTGCTTTCAGTTTTCCTTCTAGGAGGCATCGTCATCATGTGCTTGTGTTATTGGTTTGCTAATGTGACTTGGCTGCTCTCTCTCTTTCTAGGTGCTACGAGATGGCGCTTGAGGGCTTCACCTCTGTCTGAGAATCCAGCACTCCGGGCACGGGAAGAGTCAGCCCCGATCCCGGGCTCCTCGCTGGAATAAGCCTTCCCTTCCAGCCGCTTGGCGCACCTCCGCCCCACCCACTTTCTCTTAATGATGGGCATTGGTAAGAACACAACGGCCAAGTCCATGGAGGCTGGAAGTTCAACCGAAGGCAAATATGAAGACGAGGCGAAGCACCCCACCTTCTTTACTCTCCCGGTAACTGCACTGTCTGTCTTCTTTCCTTTTGACTCAGTCTCGACTAGAATCAACAGAGGAACGTGAGGATCGGCTTTACTCCTCATGTTTTGAGGGAAGGTTCAGGCTTTTCACGAGAGACAGGCTTTGAGAATGCTGGTGCCAGACGCTGGTTTGGCCCTGTTCCCTGCCTGCAGTTACCTGATGAGAGTAACTCCAGGGTTCTTCCTAGCCTTGCTGTGGGACAGGGGCATTTTAAAGCTGGTCTGGGGCTTAGTGTGTCGAGAGGATGTTGAAGGTTTAATTTTATCTCTAGAGATGTGTTCTTATGAAACATCCTGAAACCCAGCTGCAGACTCACACGACAAGGTCAGGTTGGGGGAATGACTTACTGTTTGGAACCCCAAAGTTTATTCTTTGTGTTATGACGGCAGCGTCCGAGAGAGAGTTAGTTTTACCTGGCAGGTGTTAATTAGTCAGATAGGATCGATTACACACATTTCTTAGGTTTGAGGCTAGTGTTTTTCCAGTTGTAGGATTAGGACGTAGGGTGTTAATTCCTCTGAGTGTTGGTTTAAAAAAAAAAACACTCTTTAGGAGAGAAGCCCCCTCAAGGTCTTTTTTCTCTTAATATTGGAAACAAGGTTATGTCAAGAATACTGTGCTAGGATTCTTCAAAACACGGTCCTGGAATTTGCCTTGCCACGGCTTCATTCAGAAAGATGTGCACACTAATTTTTTGTTTTTTAAGGATTTATTTATGTGTACAGAACTGGGGTACAGGCCAGAGGTGCAGGGACGGTTAGAGGCTTCTCCAGAGACAGAGTGGGGAGCAGACAGGTAGATCGATGAATACACTGCTGAGGGGTGCAGAGGGCAGGTCAGGAGAGTTCCATGTGGGTCACCCCCGGGGCGGGAATTGAGCTTATGCTGAAGTAGCTTTAGCTTCTTAGTGCGGTGCTTTAACCCGCTGCGCCACCAGGGAGGGCCCAGATGTGCACAGTATTTTTAAGATTTATTTATTTATTTATACAGAATTGGGGTACAGGCTGGAGATGCGGAGGGTGAGAGGATTCACCAGAGACATAGTGGGGAGCAGAATAGGCAGATCAAGGAAGCACACTGCTGAGGGGAGCAGCGGGCGGGTCAGGAGAGGTGTGCCACACCACGTGGATCTCCTCCAGGGCAGATGGGGATTGAGCTCATGCGGAAGTGGCTTAAGCTTTTTAGTGCGGTGCTTTAACCCACTGGGCCACCAGGGAGGGCCTGTGCACAGTATTTTAAGCACAATTCTTCCCTTGGCTCGCATTCACATTTTGATGTTACCATGTCTATTCACAGAGAGGCGCTCTGCTGACTTACAGCTTAATATTGGCTTTGGTAGAGTGAAATGGCAGATGAACCTTCCTCTTCTAGAGGAAGAGAGGGGCTCTCCAAGTTTAAACTAGATCATCTTTGAAAAGCAATCAGGAAAGTTTTATATGTTGGGTTTATTCTCAGCGGTGGCTTTTCTCTGCATGGAGCTACACGTCCCTCCCTGAGAGAGGCAGGGCGCTGACACACCACCTACCTGCCTGGTCAACAGGGCCTAGAGTTTTACTAGTCATATCAGCCCTCTGTTTTCCTTTGGCTGCTTTCTCGGGACTTGGGTATCTCCGTCAGTGCTACCTTCTAAATGGACTCCCTGGTGTTGTTTTCTGATCTACTATCACTTGTTTATGTTGAATTTTTATTTACTAGACTTTCTATTCATAAAATGAATTTTAGTTCTTCTAACATTCCTGTTTGGCTCATCACTGCCGATCTTATTTTTTGTTCTTATACAAATATTTTGGGAAGAACTCCTTTTCAGTTTGTTTTTCATTGTTTCTGACACATATGTGTTGGTTTTAAATGTTTGATGTAAATAATTGAAGACTCCAGTTGTTTGACTGGAGTGAAGTTCTCTTCTGATTGTTTCTTTTGAGTTTTGTCTTTCTCCCAGACACCTCTACTTCTGTGGGTTTACATTTTCCTTTTCTACATCCAGTTTACAGCCACGTCTGAGGGGTAGCCTAATCTCTCCCCCAAGTGGTGCAAACCATGACGTGAAGGAGTGAGGGTCCAGCTCCTTTTCCCTCCAGCTTTGAGCTCGGAACTTGGTTTTCACCCCGCCTTGAGTGGGGACCCCACAGTCCCTTTCCCCACGGGACCTGTTGGCAGCCTGCTGTCCTCTAGACTCAGCCCCAGCCCCTGTACCAGTCCAGTCTTGTGTATGGAAATCTTTGGCCCCAGGCTTGCCTTTTTCGTAGTTTTCCTCTATCATTATTTTCTGGTAGCAGGGTTGGGAAGGAGCATTCCTTAAAGCATTGCTTTTTAGATTCATTCATCAATAGGGGAGCTGGAAATGTGGGCATAATCTGTAGTTGAATCTAATTATAGTATGACCATCAAGTTTATTTAATGCTAGAGCAGTTTAATTAGGAAGTTAGGGAATTTCTCATGCCAGTGTCAGGCTGTAAAAGTTAAGTTACAAAAAGAAGGAAGAAAAAGAAGAGTAATAGAGTTGGAGTCATGGGCTTGGGCCGCTGGGCAGGGAGGTGCTGAAGGCCTTGTGTTGGCCTGTCAGGATGGCCCGGAGCAGGGATGTGGACAAGAGTGGCTAACACAAGCTCCCCAGAGCTCATGAAGAGGCGGGGAGATAAAAGAAGGCGATCTACGGATGTTTATAAAGAAATAGTTCATGCGATAAAATTCAGGGTTGTAGAAAGTTTTGTTAGAAAACATCTTGTATTGTAATAAAAGCAAGAACACTCTACTGCCCAGATTTGGTCACTAGTGAAATTGTTACTCTAAGGTAGAAGACCTTTTTGATTGATTTGCTCCTTGACAGGCAGAGGTAGGTGGTAGTGGGTCTCTGTCCATCACCCAATGAATGATCATTTTGGTCACTGTCCCTCTGTCCTTAGGACATCTGTCTGTCTCCTTGCTCCTTACTGATCTCAGGAGGTCTGCCTACTTCATAGAATGACAGCCCTAGAGCTGAAAGTGACTTTAGAACTTTCCTTCCTGATGGTTCTGTGGGGAGGACAGGTGCAGGCATTTGCCCAGAGTATCCAGCTGTGCTCAGATGTATTGCATGAGCCCCTGCAGAGCTTGCTGCCAAGCTTGCTGCCAGGCAAACAAGGTAACACTGATGACAGGTGGAGCACGGTGACTTTCTGGCTCTCCTGGACTTCCAAGGGTCTTCTACCCAAGGGAACAGGGAGTGGTGGTGATTGTGCTGCTGTTAAAGACGAGCTAGTGAGAAGAGTTGGGGCTTGACCTCTTGTTCCTCTAGCTGCTTATTGGGTGTGAGCATCTTGCTGAGTCAGTGATTCAGCCTTTTTCTTTTTCTTCTTTTGGTTACCTTATAACATGGCATCCTAGTACAATGAGAAAATGATATTTTGGATTGGAGGGTAACTGCTCCTAGGAGATCGTCTAGGGTAGTTTTAAATACAGGAACTTCCAGCTGACTTTAACACATAACTCCATGAAAATAAGATTCCAGTGGAGAAGGTGTGGGCAGAGGTGAGGGGAGTTGAGCTGGGAGGAGGACCTTTGGCTACGCTGGGTCCTTCAGGCATTGGTAGCTGAAATGGCCTCGAAGCTAAAGGAGGCAACATCGGGACACGCTGACATGGTGTAAAAGAACAGTGCCCAGGACAGGGTCAACCCAAGGCAAGTCTCAGGGGCAGGAGAAGAAAGAAAGTTAGGGCTTCAGAATGGCTGTTGAGAGCCTAGATTGTGATCTATCAATACAAAGCTCTCCAAGGGCTTTGGCCAGGGGAATAACTCCACAGTGCTTTAGGGCTATTGAGGAAACGTTGGAGAATACTGTCAGGCAGGAACTGCAGTGGAGGCTCAGTTCGAAGAGGAGAGAAGAGTGTAGTCAGCTTGGGCTGCTGTAACAAAATCCTGGAGACTGGGCAGGCATCAAAGCAGCAAGCGCTTCTCACATTTCTGGTGCTTGGGAAGTTGAACGAAGCTGTTGCCGGGCTGGCTCTTGGTGAGGTTCTCTCCCTGGCTTGTAGATGAGTGTCACTTTCTTCACTGTGTGTTCACGTGGCTGAGGGGGCGCTCCCATGTCTCTTCTTCACAAAAGGGCACAAGATCCATCAGATCCTCAAACACTCCCCCAAACCTTGTTACCTTCTGAAGGCCTCCACCTCCTACTACCATTATGTTGGATGTTGGAGGGGGGGTTTGTGGACCCCCTTATTGTGGGGCTCTGCGGGTTCTTAGCAGTGTATGACTAAGAACACAAAGAAAAGCTGAAACACAGGGATTTGTATGAACCCTGGTGAGTATTTTTCCCATTCTTTAATAAAATCAGACTGAATAAAGCTACCCCTCCATCAGTGCCCTAATAGCGTCAGACCAAATGATCTCTTGGAACCCTAGAGAAACTTAAAATATTCTCTCGGAGGCTGTTGGAAGCAGCGAAAGACACAAAAACTTAAGTAACCCTAAACACTTTGCCCAGCTCTGAACTTGGCAGTGGAATGAGCGTGTCCTGGAACAACATTGCGTTAGGAGGGGCTTTGCCAGTGGTTAGTTCAGGCTATGAACTTGGTTTCCCCTGGACGCCCCTTCAGGACAGCTACCAACACAGGAGAACCGCAGAGCAAAAACAGCACCTTTTCCTGGCTGTACTTCCGACCAGAGGCCTTAGGGCATGGCAGTTCTTCAAAATTTTTGGCTGTGTTTTTCTGGTTCTAATTTCTTGCCATGCGGCACTCGCCCTTATTAACACACCCCGGCTGCCTTTAAAAGCACACAGATTGGCATGACAAAATGCTTGTGGGATAAAGAGGCCTTTTGCTACGTTCCTCTTGTGTATTTGTTTATTTGTTCCTTCTATTTAATAATTCTGATCAGATGATCTAATTTTTGAATCTTAGGACTCTGCACGTCACTCCTTATTGACTTACGAACTGTCGTTAAATTATTGTGCTTATTCTTCCTTTATGTTTGGATGTATTCCTTTTCTCTTTAGA